ACATTCTCTGCCTTCTGATTGGATTTATGTTCTCTCACTTTCTTTGGGGTTTCAGCTCAAAAGTCACAATCTCAATGAGGTCTTATCTTTACCTAAACCAGCACCCTCTCCCAAGCATACACCCATCTCAGTTTTTCTTTTTTTGCCTCTTTACCTGGTTTCATTTTTCTTTGTAGTTCTTATCAGTCCATGAAATAATATCACATATGTATGTTGTTTTCTTGTTTGATTCACTGTCTCCTCCACTGTACTGTAAGCTCCTCAAGGACAGGGAAATTTTTGTTTTGTTCAGTGAGAATGGTAACTGATATTCTGTAGATACTGAATAAGTATGATTTACTTCAATTACTACTGTATTACCATCATCATCATTGAAATAAAATGTGTTTTAAAATTAATGCTAAAAATAAGGTTTAATTAGCAACAAGGGTTTCTATATGGCATGAGAAGAATATTGTTTGAAGGTTTTATTTAATGCCTTTCAATAGGATCTTGGACATTCAAAGATATTAATGACACACCCAAGTTTAAAACCAGTAGTAGCAGCAGCTGTAATATTAATTATAACAGATACCATTACTCAGCCGTTGTTAGTGGCAGGTGCCTTGCATGGATCATCTTATCTAATTCTCCAAACAATTCTATGGGGTTGTCTATCATCTCAATTTACAAATGTGGTATGGTAGTTTTAAATATGTCCACAAATTCTTTGATGGTCCTTTCTTTAGATGGTGGAGGCTAATTCATCTCTCCTTGAGTGTGGACTCATCTTAGCAGCTTCCAGATCCCTAATGCACAGAAATGGTGAGATAAGAAATGCCTTTTGTTTTAAGCTACTAAGTTTGGGGTATAATTTACTATGTAACAATAAATATTTTGGGGAATGAAAGAACAGAGAGGTTAAGTAAACAGCCTCATAGCATACACCTAGCAGTGATGATACAAGAATTGGAACCCAGGCAATGTGAATCTAGAACCCAAATGTTCAACCATGCTATATAGGAAGTTAAGATAAGGTCTCAAGCAATGCCAGAAGGAGAAGACTGTGGCTTTCTAATGCCACTGTCAGGGTGGAGGATACAGTCTATCCTTGGATATTAAACTGTCCATTCTTGCTTTATCACAAGGGCATGTTTTAGGCAGCCACTTCCCTTGTTTCTAAGTTCCCTTTCTGCCACAGGCTTCTTTTAGCATATAGTGAACATCTGTCTTCCCGGCATCCTTTCATTCCCCCATTTCTTTGGGCTTCTGCTCATTCTCAATTGGGATCAGGTAATTCTGGCAAAGCAGTCAATCATTGAACTCTTCCTGCTGGGATAGATGGAGATGTGACTTAAACTGGCCAATCATAGAGCATTATTAGTGACTGGCTACAGTAATCTGTCCAACATACCAGCACATGATGTACACTGGCCAAGCAGAAACATTCCCTAGGATTTTGAAATACTCAGTGAGATCTCTAAGCTCAGATGATGTGAGCTGCCAGGTGCCATATTCTTAACTGCCTGGGGGAAGTCTATCTCCAACAGAAAGTCTAGCATAGAGCGAGGACATCTCATATCCTTAGAGACCTTGAATCCAGCCAACCCAGAGAGCAACTCCATCCTCTTTTAATCTATGTGAGTCAATAAGCTATGTTTTAAATTAGTTTGAGTTTCTATCAGTTGCCCTTCATCATGACTAGTATGAAGAGTCTGTCCCATTTTGCAGAAGATGGTAGGTATCATCCATTCTCCATGAGCATCAGTGGTTCTGAGTCATCCAAAGAACCTGGAGCAGTTCTCTCCATTGGTTGGCCTTTCCTCAGGGGTGAAGGACTTCCTTTTCATCCTTTAGGAAGCACCTGGCCTTTCTGGAAGCCAGTGATGGTCTGGGGGCAAGCTCAAAATGAAATGGTGCTATGACGGATGGGGAGTTCAGTCACTCAGTTTAAAATTTTAGTCATCTCTGTATCCTTTCTTTCCTTAGATGCTCACCCCCTCCCTCAATTATGCACACACACACACAGACACACCCCCACACACAGACACACACACATCCTATTAGTCATCAAGTCCTGTTGATGTGGATCAAATACTTTATGGAAGTAGATGGAGTAACCATAATGAAAGTCTGTGGCCGTCAGGTTCTTCCTTCTGAACATCTTGCAAATCCAGTTTTTCTTCTTCATTTCTACCTCCACCACACTGGACCACTGTGACTGGTCTCCCTACCTCTAACCTCAACCCCTGGAGTCTGTTCTTCATATTTCTTATAGAATTTGTCTTCTAACACACTTTTGATTGCCGCACGCTTTTGATGGATTCAAAAGTCTTCATCCAGTTTTCCCCCCGCTGACTGGCTAAATTGCAAGCTTCTTAGCTTGGTGTTCAAGACTCTCCATGAACAGACCCACATTCATTATCCAATGTCCTGTGACTTCCACAAATCAATCTACTGGTCTTCTCACGCCCCCCTCATTGAAGCACTGCCTACCATCTACCCTTGTTTTTTTCTCCAAAGTCCCTCCTTTTCTATGAGTCTTCAAGATCCATTACAATACTATCTCATCCATAAAATATTCCCTGAGCATGCCAATCCACAGTGAATATCTCCTTCTGTGAACTCTGTAAACAATTGTTGTCTAGACTAAGGTTTTTTTTTTTTTTTCCTTCAAATTGTGCTCACATTCCCAGGGAGTACTTGGCCGGCACAAGTGAAGTTTTTGGTGTTTTTGTAAAACTACTGATTATATATTCAAATTTGGCTGAGCATATTATTTCCAAACCCAGTTTCTTTCTTGTCTTCTACTTCCAAATTACATCCTCATGCTATCGTGGTGCATTTATTCCCAAGTACAAATTAAGGATCATTAAAATTTGTTTTCTGACCTACAGATAGAGAACTGCCTATTATTAATATTCTTATTTAAAACCATGACCATGGGGAAAATATCAGTATGAAGAGGGAAGAAAACTGCTATAGCAATTTCCAGTTTCTAAACCAAATACACTTTCTTGTTTATTTCCACCCCTCACCCCTTTCCCCCTTCATCATGTTAATGTGGGATTTTAACTAGACATTGGTATAAAATCTGTTGTATTGGTATAGTCTGACAGTCATTGTGTACCCACTCTCTGCCAGCAATGGGATAATGATCACATTGCCATGCTTGTGATACAAAATTGAACAAGCCTCGGCAGGAGGAGCTTTCCAGATGGATTAAGTGTGGAAGGACATTCTAGGCACAGGGGACAGCATGTAAAAGCTCATGTATTCCTAGAATGAGCCAGACATGAAAACCCTGTGTTCCAGATTCTGTGGGATTTTTTTTTTAATAGAAAGATGTGATGACTTTAAAACATTTTGATAATCTATGGATCAAACCTTTCTGTTTGTTATAATTCTCCTTTGCCATCTCCCTCTCCACAAGGGCAGTTCAGGGTCCAAATTCAGACACAAGTAACCTTAAGGGATTCTGCTGGAATAGGCCACTTTGTGTATACAGAGATCCTCCATTCGATTCTCACATCACCTTAGGTGTGTCTTACCATCTCCAATTTAGAGATGCAGAAGGCAAGCCTCATGAGGTAAAGTGACTTGTCCAAAGTCTCTCAAATAGGAAAAGACAGAGGGAGGATATGAGTTAAGTCCACACCACAGCTAGAGAAAGTGACCAACTGGGCATTTCTGGGGCTGGACTGAGGAAGACCTTTCTTCCAAACTGAATAGCCTGCCTTCCCAGGTCCTGAGTTCACTATCTTTACACAGAATTGGTGTCCACGATGAAGCAGTAAGAGATGGCTTAACAACGAGTTTGGGTCTCAGAGTCCCTCCGGCTCTGGCGCCTGGCACATAGTAGGAGCGCCTTCTGGCTGAGCGACGGAATCCTCCTGCCGCGCGTGTGGTTCCTCGATCCTCCTGGAGTCGAAGTCCCTTGAGGGCAGGGTCCCAGTGGCTCCTACCCGGGGACACGGTGTAGTCGGGTAGGCTTTGGAAGATGCTTGTTGAATAATGGATGAGTGAGTAAATGGGGGCTGGGGAGGTTGGGGGAAGGCCACACCCGGCTCCAAAGACTTGCCAGGGTTTGCCGGGGTGCTGTCCTGGCTCTCTCGGCGCCTCTGGAGGGGTCCTTTCGTCCCTCTTCCTGTGGCCTCCACATCTCAGCACCCAGACTGGAGGGAGGCGCTATGGGGCCGGGGAGGGGCCGCGCGGTCCCCAGGGGCTAGGTCTCCCGGGGGCGGCGCCCACTCCCTCTCGGGGGGTGCGGGGCAAGAGATGAGGCCCCTGGGGGCCGGCCGAGCCCGCCCGGGGGCCCCTTCCCCGCCGGGCCCCACAGCCCTCTACCTGCTTCCCGGCCGCCCCTTCGCAGCCCCGGGCCGGGTGCGCCCGGCGGGCACCTGGCCCGCCACCCCCCGGGGAGCCCCGCCGGTCTCCTCCAGGGCCGGCCCGGGGCGGTGGGGCGGGCCTGGGCGCTCCCCGGCTCTGGGACCGGTCCCCCGGGGCGCGGCCGGGCAGCCGCCCCCGTTCCCCCCCCGCCCGCCCGCCCGGGGGGCCGGGCCGGGCTCCCGGGGGGCGGGGACTCGCCCAGTGGCAGCAGCGTCCGGGCCGGCGGCGGGCGCGGGGCGGCTTCCTGCAGGCGGCGCCGGGGCGAGCCGTTGCCCGCCGCAGCCACACCGCCGCCGGGTCGCCGGGTCGCGGGGGCCGCGGCGCTTGGGCCGCGTCGGTGCCTCCCGGGCGCGCTGCGCGGCCGTCGCTGCTGCCCGCGCTCGTGCCGCCGCCGCCGCCGCCGCTGCCGGTTACGCCAGCCCCGCCGCCGCCGCCGCCGCCCGCTCTGATTCTGCGCATAGGCAGCCCCCAAGCCTGTCATTCTGCAAAAACACAGTTTACTCAACACACCACACACACACACACACACGCGCGCGCACACACACGCGCACACTGGCCCCCCTCGCGCACACGCACGGAGGGCGCGAGCAAGCAGACGCGCACAGCCGGCGAGCCAAGTTCCGCAGCCTGGCATGGCTTCTGGGGACCTTTACGAGGTACGGGGACGCGGGGGCGCGGGCCGGCCCCAGCCCGCGGGCGGGCGGCGGGCGGGCGGCGGGCGGCGGGCGGCGGGGGCCGGGCCGGGGCCGGGGCCGGGGCCGGGCGCGAGCCGGAGTTGCCGAGCCCGTGGCGGCGGCGGCGGCGGCCGGAGGGTGGCGGGGGCCGGGCGCGTCTCCCGCCCGCCGCCCGCCCTCCCGCGGCGCCCGCGCCCGCTCCCTCTTTCTCTTTCTCTCGCGCACACACTCTCTTACTCCATCTACTTTGCGGCCTTGGAGGGGAAGGAGGAAGCCGGGCGGAGCCGGGGCGGGGGAGGTAGCGGTCCCGGGGAGGTGTTTCTCGCCCGACGAGCCGCCTCGAGTGCAGAAAGTACAGGTAAAAGTCGGCGCCGGACGTGCGGGGAATGCGGGAGGCCGCGGGGCGGCCGGCGCGGGTGAGGGGCCGGGGGTGCACTGCCCCGGGGCCGGGCCGGGGGCGAGGGAGGGGAACCTGGGGTGGGGGGCGGGCCGCGATGGAGCGGAGCCGGGCCGGGGCGAGGCGGGGTCCTGGGGGGAGGCGGCCTTGAAAGGGGGAGGCTGGATGGGGGGTTCGGGAGACCCCCGCCAAACCGCTCCCCGGGGCCAACGGGCCACCCGCCCCCCTCCCCCCACCTGCTGCCCCCGCCGCCGACTCGGGGCCGGGGCGTGGGGGCGGTCCTGGCGGGTGTCGCGCTCACTCGGGGCGAGAGGGGGCGCTGCAGAGGGCCTCCGGTGGAAGCGGGAGCACATGGAAGGCGGAGGTGGGTGGTAACACGTTGCTAGAGGACTGGGGATGGAAGCCTGGCTCCCAGCGCTCTACGGCACTGACCTCAGTGGATGGCTGTCTCCAGGTCCACAACAGGTAGTGACCAGCATCGGATGTTTTGAGAACGTCTCAAAAAATGGTCAAGGAAGACATTAGTGTGGCACCTTTGAAACAATGGAGAAATAGCCATGGCCTCTGGGAGCTGGGTTTTACTAGCTCTGAACAGAACAGTTCCTGCTTTTGGATTTGGGACAAGTGGACAAAACAAGAAGCAACTCCCTTTCGCTAGGGAGAATGCCCCCAAAGAGCTGTTGTTCCCAAGAGAAGGTTCAGGATTAGGGAAGCTAAAAGATGCCCCATCTTCAACCTGAAGGCCTGCTGATCCTCCAGGAAACCAGAATCATAGCTTGGCGTGGTCATGGACTCCCTCGCACAGAAATCGATTACCACTAGCCCTGGTTCTCAAGACTTTCGACTAAATTGAGATGAACACCCCAAGGGGTGGAATTCTTGGTAGGAGACGACAGGGGTGATTCACCCACAATGAGCTTTTTCCTCTGGGTCTCTGGAAAGATGTAGCTTTTTCAGTTGGTGGATTTGCTGGCCAGTGTGAGAGAAGAAGAGTGTGGAGAACAGGCAAGGTAGCATCTTAGCCTCCTGTGCGACCAGGGTCTTTTGGATGATTCTGGACCTGGTGAGGCTCAGTCATGAACCACCAGTGGGCTCAGGTGCCATGGCTTGAGAGGACACTGCAGTCCTATGGAGAGGTCAGTGTTGAGACCTCCTGCCTACAACCAGACCTAGCTTCATTAAGCTTGTATGTGAGCCACCTGGCAAACAGAAAGTCCAGCCCCAGCCGAGCATTCAGAAGACCACAGCCCCAACAAACATGTTGACTGAAACACCATGATATGTTCTGGGGCAGAACCATCCGGCTAAAATGTTTCTGTTTTTCTTGAAAGAATGTTGCAGTTTGAGCTCTTCTCTAGCCTACTGCCTTCCTCATCCCTGCATTGATAGAGAAGATGAAGTTGGGTAGACCTGGTGAAGAACTTTGGAAGATTGTGTCCAATAGGTCACCAAGCACTTTTGTCTATTTCAAGATGGTGGAACAATTTCTGAAACCAAAAGAGTTGAAGCACAGTCAATTGGGATGTTTGATTTAGTTTCCCAAAGTATAACCAGCAAAAAAGTAGACATTCTTCAGAGGCAAAGCTCAGCTCCTTGGGAGTATGGATTTTTCTACCCATTGACAGTGAGTCACTCAGAGCTTCCGCCTTTCCCTGGGAGAAGAGTTGCATTGAGAAGGCATTAAGAGGACATGTTAGGAGCTGTCAGTATTTCTTCTTTTAAAGTTTGGAACTTATGAACCTTCTGGGGATAATTTCTTGTTTAATGATCATCTGAAATGCCCTCCTTAACATTGGTAATTATAGTTGCCAGATGAGTCTGTTAAAAGGGGAGTTTTCACACTGGCCTTGGAAGTGTCTTAGCATCTCTCGAGTTCTCCTTGAAGTTCAGTAAACAAGACAATGATAATAATTACTTCTGTGATAGTAGGTAATTGTACTAGATGTAAAATAGTTTTCCCGTGGCTGATTATTTGCATAATCATTACTAAATAGGGCTAAATTGCATTACAAGAATATAACCAATGTCAGCATTTTTATAGCCAGTGTCTACATTACATAACACATACTGAGAAATTTAATTTGTTGTTCAAATTTAGTTTTAAAAACAGTTAAGAAGTGCTAACTGTACATTTTGAACTGTAAAATTGGGTGGGGAAAAAGCAGGATGTTGATTTAAGGACACATCTTGGATTATCCAGTACACTTATTGACCTTTAAAGGTAAAAAAGAGAAGAAAACTGATGCCGTTCTCAACTTAAATATTACATTAATTAAATACTATACCCAAGGGTATGTGAGATGGCTTCTTGTAACCTCTGACCAAGAAACCACATTTTGACTGGACGAGAACTATTATTGAATATGTTTGTAATTGGTTTATTTCACCTCTGTGTCTGCTGACATTTTTCTTGACCCTCTGTGGTAAAGATGTGATTTGGAGTCTAGAGAGTCTTCAACTTCTCTTTGGTGCTTTAGACAATTAAATTGTAAAAAGTAAGCCTTCCTTGAATAGCATCTTTCAAGGAATAGGTGCTAATTTTAGAGAAAAACTTTGTTTATCTAACGGCACTCTTCAGTCATAGTGAAGAAATATGGAGTCAAGCTCAGTTACCAAAATTTTGGCTCTTGGTAGACAGTTTCTCCTATAGCAGAGTTCTCATCGTCAACTGGTATATTATAGCCATCCACTTTAGGAAGGTGATCATAAATATAGGCTGAGCCTTTAAAAATCATGTATCTAGATGCAAAATGAAATTTCTTATCCAGATGCTCTGGTCAACATTCTGCTAAACAAAAGAGTCATAAAATGGTAGTCTGTGAGCCAGGTCTAGTCTCTTTATGTTTTTTGCCTTGCCTGGATGGTAGATAAGAAAAATGGACTTGAATACCTTTAGATGGGTCATGTGATACTTGTTTATAATTGTCCCAGGGCGCCCTCTTACCAGAAATCCTTTCCGCTTCACTCTCACATTACTTATCAGGCTCCAGTAGGCATTAGAGTTTGCAGCCCCCAGATGGTAGTCAACCATTTGCTAACATGTTTGGATATCAGGAAGATGTAACCAGTGGAATAAGGAGCCCAGTTGCCTTGTCCATCTCTGTGTCCTCAAACGTTCAAATACTTGTTGACTGAATCAGTGAACAGAAGACTGACTAAAGTATAGATAAAGTACCTTGGCTGACCTTTGTTATACTTGTGTGGAGCGCTGCCCTCTGTTCTCCTTTCTCCTTTGACTTGTGGTCTCTCCGTGGTGGTAACACCATGTTTAGGAGAGTCCCTTCCAGTTCTGTCTGGAAGGAAGTGTGGCTGAGTCCCCTTCCAGAGAGCCAGACTGTGTTATTCATTAAAAGGATTGAATGCATTTAAGCTTCAACTGCATGGCTTTCCAGGTGGCTATTGGGTGGTGTTTTACACCCTCTCCCTTGTGATTAGCTGACAGTATGGAGGAGGGCTCCCCTCAGTTGGCAAAAATATTCAAAGAGAATGCTGTATGTCTACACAGAAGGTTAGTAGCGGCCAAGTTGAAATTTATTTAGGCGTTTTTAACAGTGGCAGTTCCTGACATTTGTCAGTGTTCATTACTTACAGTTCCTGGGTATCTTCCTATAAGATAGTTCTATCTTATGTATTCATGCATCCATATCTAATAAATATGTATACGATTATATGTATGTATATATATATAATACTGCTTTTGTTTTCTTCCAAACAAAATAAATAATAATAGGATTTTTGTTTTGTTGAAAGAAATTTACTGTAGTTAAAAATCGATGCTGCTACAGTGATGAACATGGGCCTTTCCACTATAGCGCTACATAGGCATCTTGTGTCCTGCAAAATTATGCACTGAAAATAACAGGGTTTATGGGAAAAACTGGATTGAGGCCAACTGCAGAAACATTGGAACTTTGTGAACAAAAACAAAACCAAATCTAATAAAAATACCCGTCAGTTAAATCTCCACCTGGCTGATGTTTGCTCTTGCCAGGTCAGTCCATCCTTATAGCCTTCAAATTGGGCTGGTACTTCTTCTCTCTGTAACTCGCAGAGATCATTCACTTCTAATGGAGACCGTTTTCATTGAAATGAAATCTAACCTAGAGCATAGCCCTCTGCATTCATCTGTATGGAAAGAAATATTTTGTACCTTTTTCATCTGTAATTTGCAGCTTTGCCAGCACGTTAGCATAGTGGAAAGGTATTAATTCTTGAAGCCACTGTGGGCCTACTCAGATTAAAGGAAGGCGCTTGAATGCGTTTCCAGCTTTGTTCTTGATCTTCAAGCATTGTTAAGTCTTTCTCTTTCCTTGTCAGAGCTCTTTCCTGCGATTGCTTCAAAACATTAACAAACTGTGAAAGTCACATAAGAACCAACACAACTTGTTAATTTGACATATTCCTTTAGGTACCACTTGTACCCAAGGTGAAACACGTGTAGTTCCAGAACGAACAGTCAGTGATAAAACTTCTTGAGTGTCAGTACCAGTATTTGAAGAGGCAAATATTGTCAAAGAGAATTCACTGGATGAGCTGAATTGATTTTTTGGCACATGGTAGACACCTGAAGAATATCGACTGGGTA